TATTTTTAAAAATGGGGCCCAAACAGATGACTGGCTATAGAAGCTATAATACATGTACACACTACTCAGCTATAAGAAAAAGATGAAGTCATGTAATTTGCGGCTCCATGGAAGGGTCTGGAGAGTATCAGGTTGAGAGAAACCAGCGGAGGGAGAAGAACAGACTCAGAATAATCTCTCTCACATGTGGGATGGAAAGAAACTTCCTAAGGGGGATATTATAGGCCTAAAAGCCATGGAAAAGAAGAGCAGGGGAACTGGTCTTCAGTGGGAAGCTTGGCACTGGGGCAGGGATGAGGGCAATAAGGCAGGGAAGGGAACACTAGGACTATTGGGAAGGGAAAAACATGCCTGCCCCAGAGGCAGGTGGGGGAGGGAAATTAGGAATATGGTGGAGAATCGTTGGTGTTGGAACATTGTATGCCTGGAACTCACTCACAAATATCTTTCTGCAATTCATGTTGGTTCAATAAAAAAAAATTTTTTTTAATTGGGACTAGAAGAATAGTATAGGGCTAAGGCACTTGTCTTGCATACAGCCAACCCTGATTTGATCCCTGATACCACCAGGAGTGACACCTGAGCACAGAGCCAGGAATAAGTCCTGAGCATAACTGGATGTGGCCCAAAGAAGAGCAACACATTATTATGGCTTTGGTTATATGTTTATTCTAGCATTGACATTCATGGTTGGGGGGTACACAGTTCTCACCATTTACCATCACCATGGTGTCCAGGAACCCCCACCCTTGTGTTCCTTCCAGTCCTCCTCATTGACCAATCCCCAACGCTTCTCTCCCAACCTAATAGAGTTTATTATCAGTTGATATTGTTTACTTCTTTGAGTTGTCCCTCTGTGTATCACACACAGATGAGTAAGATCACTCAGTATTTGTGCCTCTGGTTTATTTTGCTTAACATGACACCTTCCAGTTCCAGCCACATGACTGTGTTTGTTTTCTTGTTTGTTTGTTTTATCTTTTTGGGTCACACCGGCTATGCACAGGGGTTACGCCTGGCTCTGCACTCAGGAATTACGCCTGGCAGTGCTCGGGGAACCATATGGGATGCTGGGAATCGAACCTGGGTTGGCCATAAGCAAGACAAATGCCCTGCCCACTGTGCTATCGCTCCAGCCCCCCATCCACATGACGGTGAACAGCACAATTGCATTTTTTGTTTTTATTTTTAGGGGGAGCGATAGCACAGCAGTAGGGCATTTGCCTTGCACGCAGCCATCATGGCCGACTCGAGTTCGATTCCTCCGCCCCTCTCGGAGAGCCTGGCAAGCTACCGAGAGTATCTCACCCGCACGGCAGAGCCTGGCAAGCTCCCCGTGACGTATTCGATATGCCAGACACAGTAACAACAAAGTCTCCAATGGAGACGTTACTGGGCCCGCTCGAGCAAATCAATGATCAACGGGAGGGCCTTTTACTTTTTACTATTTTTAGGGGGTGGTTCTCAGGGGCTAGGGGAATGCTGAGGATCAAATCAGCGTAAGCTGCAGGCAAGGCTCACCCCTTCCATCCTCTGCGGTGTCCCCAGCCCATGATTTCACTTTCCCTTGGGGCTGCATAGTATGCCTCCCACAACCTCCTCATGCTCTCATCTGTGAGACATGCGGGTTGTCTCTGTATCTGGGCCATTCTAATCAGTGAGCAGGAGTTGTGTGCACATCTTTCTGCATTAATGTGAAAAGCAAAAGCCTTTTCACGCTGTGTTCCCCAAAAGGGATGACTCCAGATTTTTTTTTTAAACTGAGGTGGGAGTTGTACATGATAGTTTCCAAAACTTCCAGGAAAAAGACTTTTGTTTTATTTGGTGACCACACATGCGATGGTGCATGGGGTTTCCTCCTGGCTCTGTGCTCAGGGATCACTCTGGCAGGGTTCTGAGGACCCTGTGTGGTGGCACGGATCGAAGCTGGGTCTGCTACATGCAAAAAAGATCTCTATCCACTATACTATCACTCCAGTCCCTTAGCGGAGACACTTTTAGGCTGGCAGGACCCTACCTGCTGGCATGACATCACTGAGTTTGGTTTCATTCTCTAAGAGACTAGCAGAGAATCAGGAATTCTCCGCACAGTTCAAAATTCTACACACCTGCAGCTTTCAGCCATTGATAAGAAATGTGTTCCAAAAGCACTAACATTCCATTTTATTCCTTAGGAAAGAAAGGGGGTGGGAAGTGGCTTCAAAGAGATTTTTTAGGGTCCAGAGCTGGAAAGGTGGTAAGAAGTTTAGCCTAAGCCTCACACATAAAATATGGGAACTCCCAGTAGGTTGGGGTTTAATATCTGGGGGTAATTCCAGGGTTTTGTCCTCCCAAGAGAGATAAGTTGAGGCCTTGAGGGTTTAATGTGGGGGAGGGAAAATTGTTCTCATAATGACACCTTAAAAATCCAGGACTCAGCTAATGCCTGGGGATAGAAAGGTGTCATGGGTAATGGGAGGGGAGAGGAGAGGTGGGGGTGCACTGTGATCCCCAACAAGGTCCAAAACTCAAGGCAAGGTCATTGAGAACCTTCTCTCTCCCCGTAGGTTTACGGTATTAGTTACCCAATAAAAGTGGGGTTAATTTTACAGTCCAAGTAAAATTTAAGCCAAAAAGGCTTTAGCATTACCCTAGGATTTATGAAAGTAAACAGATGGAGTGCTTGCGGGATTTTGCAACATTAAAACGTCAATGTCTTTCTGTCAGGTATACGACGGATTCATTTGTATGTGTACTCACAGGGCACGTTTTTAAAGAGCTATGCAGTGCAAACTGGCTGAGGTCTAAGCTGGAGATGTTTCCGCCATCTCTGCCTTCAAAATGACCGTCGCAGGAAGGGGAGGTTCTGCAGTTGAAAACCAGCATCTTTCCCTCATCAACTCTGTTTGAATTGTCCACCTGGTTTCCTGTCCTTCTGGGTGTTCTCACTTTCAGCACTGACACATATCCCCTAAAAGGACAAGTCTGAGCCCCTAGCACTGAGCCTGTTCCACCTGACAGAGTTGGAGAAGCTTGTGTTTGGAGTCCGCATCTGCTTTGACGATGATGCCACTTTAACAGCTGCCCGTGTTCTCTCTCTGTGGTCCCTTGGCAGAACATTTGTGTCTTTGATGGCCAGCTCGTGCCTTTGACTGGACAAGAGATCACTTAGGAGCTTCACCCTCCCAGATAAGAACACCATGGCTCAAAGCAGGCCACTGTCTAAGGGATCCCACATATTCGACCCAGGAAGGCACATTTGCCCTACAGTGATGAGCAGGAGAGATAGTACAGGGATTAATAAGGCACTTGCCTTGCATGTGGCCAAACCCGGGGTGTTCCCAGCATGGCATAGACTCCCGGAGTACCTCTAAGGGGTCAGTCCCGAGCACAGATCCAGCAATAGCCCCTGAGCATGGCTAGGGGTGGAACAACACCCCAACACCCTTCCCAATAACAAAAAACAAACAAACACTGTCCTCCCGTTGTTCCTCGATTTGCTCGAGCGGGTCCAGTAACGTCTCCATTTTGAGACTTGTTGTTACTGTGTTTGGCATATTAAATACGTCACGGGTAGCTTGCCAGGCTCTGCCGTGCTGGCGAGATACTCTCGGTAGCTTGCTGGGCTCTCTGAGAGGGGCGGAGGAATCGAACCTGGCTCGGCCGGGTTGGCTGCATGCAAGGCAAACGCCCTACCACTGTGCTATTACCCTTCCCAGTAAAGGTAAAGGCCCTCCCGTTAATCATCGATTTGCTCGAGCGGGCCCAGTAACGTCTCCATTGGAGACTTTGTTGTTACTGTGTTTGGCATATTGAATACGTCACGGGGAGCTTGCCAGGCTCTGCCGTGCGGGCGAGATACTCTCGGTAGCTTGCTGGGCTCTCTGAGAGGGGCGGAGGAATCGAACCTGGCTCGGCCGGGCTAGCTGCATGCAAGGCAAACGCCCTACCGCAGTGCTATTACCCTTCCCAGTAAATACAATAAATGAAGTGACTGAACTCAGAAGAAACCAAAGAGGAAAGAACGTACTTTTGCCCCGAGAATGTGTTGACTGGTGGACGTTGGACCTTTTGTTGGGTTGCAGGCTGCCTTTAGGAGACAGCAGAGAGAAAATCTCATGCTCTTGTCCGAGTGGCAGCCGCTGTCTTCTCAAGCTGAACCTGCTCCCTTCCTCTGCCTCCTAGAATCAGCCTCAGATCCAGCTGTACACACAGCTCTGCACCCCAACCCTTTGCTACACTGTTGTCACAAATCCCAGAACGTTCTAGCATCCCCTTTCAGGTAACTTTTTATCGCAACACCCCTTTATGTATTGGGGGCATTTTGAGGCAGCCAAAGCTCAGAAAGGGGTTTTTGTTCGTTTCTTTCATGTTGTGAGACTCTGTGGCTATTTTCTCTAGATTGCCCCCGAGAATTGGTGACTGGTGTGAAATGCTGGGGCTAAGGTCTGCCCTGGCCCCTCTCCTCTGCAGGGCAAGATGAAGGGTCCAGGCAGCAGGGGCACCCCCCTAACCATCCCGCCCACCCCCTTGGCTTCTCTCCCCCCGCACCCAGCCTCCCACCTTGATGCATGAAGCCTTGTAATTGGCATATCAGCCCGATGCATCTCGTGGATAAGGCGCCCACGCCTTTGTAGCAAGGAAGCAGGAGTTCTTCTGTGCTTCCAAACAAACAGCAACAAACTGTCGAGCCTGTGCCCAGATTTCCAACTCATTTCCTCTTTTCTCTTATAACCACATCATCATCCAGCCCACCACCAGCTGCGAAAATAAAAATGTTTTCTCCCATATTTAAGGATGATTTGGGGCTGCAGGATGAATTTTTGGGGGCGGTGGAAGGAAACTTAAGCCAATGTGATCAACAGATGTTCCCAGGGAAGGATGGAGTCCCGTCCCGAGGATACCGCGCCCTGCCGCGCCCCCTAGTGGTCCTCTGGGGCACCACGCCGTCAGAACCATCCCGATCCCTGGCTCCCTGCCTCCACTCACCCCTGCCTTCTTGCCTTTTGTTCTGCTTTTAGCGATGAGTACGAAGAAGATGGATTTTGCCAGCCATACCGCGGGATTGCGTGTGCAAGATTTATTGGCAATCGTACAGTCTACATGGAGTCTTTGCACATGCAAGGCGAGATCGAAAATCAGATCACAGGTAGGTGACACCAGTGAAGTTCTGTTTGCACCAATGAGTAAATGAGTATGTTTTCTTCTCAGCAGAAATTTTCTTTTTCTTTTTTTCCTTTCCTTTTTTTTTTCTTTTTGGGTCACTCCTGGCTCATGCACTCAGGAATTACTCCTGGCAGTGCTCGGGGGACCATATGGGATGCTGGGAATCAAACCCAGGTTGGCAGTGTGCAAGGCAAAGACCCTACCCGCTGTGCTATCTCTACAGCCCCCAGAAGTTTTCTTGAGCTCTTCTTCCAACCGAGGACTAGTCAACAATAGGGCCAGCAGCAGGGCCCTGTGGGAGCAGGAGCTAGGATCTTGGTGCTCTGGAACTTGCGTAAAAATAATTTATGGGAGGTTGCTTTTAGAGGAAAAGGAGGCTTTGAAAAGTCTCACATTCAGCCCAGCACTCAATAAATATCACTGAGTGCACGGGGCATGCCAGGAACTGGGCACTGGGGATATGATGGCGGTGAGTGGGGGTGGGGAAACCAAGTCTCGCTGCCCCCTCATAAAGTTTGGTGCTGCGGAGCAACAGAGATGAAGGGGAACAACATCGGAGTTTAGAATTCAGGGTGCTGGCCCCAGAAGGGCCCTGACTGATTCTGAGGAAGCCTCTTCCTCTTGGAACATCCGTCTCTGTCTGAAATTAGTGATAAGGTGAGATATTCAGAGGGGGTCATACCCGGCAGTGCTAAGAGGCTATTCCCAGCTCAGTGCTTGGGGGTTGCCCCTGGCATTGCTGAGGGACCGTCTGCAGTGCCAGGGTTGAGTCCAGGCCTCCTGTGGGCAGCACCTGCATGCTCCAAGTTGGGTTGCATCCCGGACTGGAATCTCTACAGTGGACTCCAGCTCATGGTCGTTCTGGAGCCCAGGGAGCACTGGCCGGGCTCTGCATGTCCTTAGGCGGTCTCTGCAGCCTGTGTCTTTCCCATAACTGAGTTCCCCTGTATTGATGCCATAGATTCAGGCATGCCACAAATATTGCCTCCAAGAAATGCTAAGAAAGCTGTCAGATTTAATCAGTAAAAATTCCGGAAGCCTAGTGAAATCTGTACTAAAGATTAATGACAAGTCCTTTTATCAAATGCTTATCAGGAGTTTCTGAGTGTCTTGTAGTTTATCCTGTGAGCCCCAAGATTTAAAAAGACCAGGAAAAGAAAGATAGGACACAAGATTTTTTTTTATTAATTCACTGTGAGGTACTATAGCAAAAATTTCATGTTTGAACTTGGATCATACAGTCATCAAACACCCATCCCTTCACCAGTGCACACTTTCCACCACCAAAATCCCCAGTATCCTCCTCCCCATTCCACAACTCCCCCTGCCTGTGTGGCAAACAACTGGCAAAATATTCTTTCTCTACTTTAGTCACCTTCGATATTTTGATATTCCTACCACCCCTCACACCTGCCGAAAATGCAATGCTAGACAATGTGTTTTGTATCGTTATGGATATACTATAATGTCGTGGCCGCACGCTCTAGGAATTCTAAGATTTTAATAATTAGGGTCTGAAGAAATCACTGCAGCAAGTTGCTCGGGTCCAAGATTCATTTGTGTGTCTCTGGATCATGGCCGTGTGGGAGCTTAAGTAGATGGTAGGCACATGCGGTGTCATCCTGGCGTCCCATTGGGGCAGGGGGAAGGAGGAAGGCCCACTCGTCCCCTGTCCCGCGAGACTTGGGATTTGCCACCGACTCTGGTACCTGGAGCTTCTCACTGGCTTCTAGAAAATGGTGCCCACTGCAGCTCTTAGGAGGCAGGCAAGGACACAAGATTTAAAAGAGACCAGGAACAGAAAGATAGGATAAAGGTGCAGGCTTTTGCCTTGCACACGGCTGACCTCTGTTTGATCCCCTGGCATCCCATATGGTCCCCTAAGCACTGCCGAGAGTGATCCCTGAGCACAGAGCCAAGAGCAAGCACTGAGCACTGCTAGTTTGCTGCCCACTGCCTGCAAGGGAAAAAAAAGAATACGAAAGAGGTGAGAAGGAACTTCAAAGCAGGCACGTAACACAGAAAAAATGTCCAGGGTCTCAGTTCTGTGAGGAATCTGAAGGATAAGAGAGTGAAGGGCCAGGAGTGACCCACTGTTGGGTGTGTTCCCCCAGTAAACACATAGAATAAAGAAAAGGTAATGAACCTACCAGGAAATGATTTTATTCCTATAGTTAACAACTTCTGTTTTTATTAACACTCCTTTGTGTGATATACTTTACCTTTACTCCCAATTTTTCTTCTGTTTATTGAACTGCTTGGCTGAGCAGAAGGAAAATAAATAAATAAATAAAAAGAGAGTTCTGGGGTTCAGTTAACCTGGAGAAGTAACCAGGGGAAATAGACAAGATACTGCCTGAGGCCAGAGTGATAGGATCGCGGGGAGATGACCTAGGCTCCATCCCCGGTACCAGGTATGGTCCCCTGAGCACAGAGCCAGGAGTAAGCCCTGAGCACCTCCAAGTGTGACCCCAAAACAACACTCCATAAAAGGATATTGGCGGGGCTGGAGCAATAGCACAGCGGGTAGGGTGTTTGCCTTACACGCAGCCAACATGGCCGATCCAGGTTCGATTCCCAGCATCCCATATGGTCCCCCGAGCACCGCCAGGAGTAATTCCTGAGTGCATGAGCCAGGAGTAACCCCTGAGCATCGCCGGGTGTGACCCAAAAAGCAAAAAAAAAAAAAAAAAAAAAAAAAAGGATATTGGCTGAATCCTTGGGCTTTCAGGAGTACCAAGGACTCTGAATTTCCAGAGAATTCCAGCGAAGTAGGACTGATAGAAATTGAAGACCTCCTTTAAGAAGCTCTTAAACATTCTTTGAACTAGATATAAAAATAAATGGGATACCGAATAGACATTTTCAATAACCTACTTATAATTACCTGCTCTTGGAGATTTTCAAAAGACAAGAGCTGACTGGAAAGCCACTATTTAAAAAAAAATATATATATATAGAAAATCCACTCTGGAGCAATACTATAATAGACAGCGACCATCCCTGGAGCCCCCTATAGTCCCCCCAAGTTCCTCCAGGAGTGATCCCTGAACACAGAGCTAGGATATGGTTCTCAGAATGTTTCAAGGTCCCATGAGCACCGTCTGGAGCCATCCACCCCTAAGTAACTCTGGGCATGGCCTCCAAAGCCAAAAACCAGAGTAAGTCAAAAAGAAAATCACTGTTTCCCTTCAGCTGTCCCTCACTCAGCAGAGCCGTGGCGGGAAGGCTGGGGTCCACGCCCCCAGCACCAGCCCTGGTTCTGCCCATCACCCTCGTCAGTTCTCAAAGTCTCACCGAACTAAAAAAAAAAAAAAAAAAAGCACCGGATGAATGAAACGCAAAATTCTGCTGCTTTGTAGTAAAAATGAAAAAATATATTGTTCCTTAACCTAATTAATTCTTTTTATTAGGAAACGGCACAGCTGTAATTTAATCCTGTTTTTCTAACTTTGTACTCCGAACGCTCCCTCCCGGCAGGAGCCTGTGAAAGTAAGCTGCTGGGACATCTGAAACGAATCTCTCTCCCTTGGCTTTGCGGGGCTTGAGCCTCCCTTGCAGATTCCTTCCCTGAGTGTTTAGGTCTCTTATCTGGTGACTAGATAACCTGGACGATAAAGCCTGGCCCGGAGTTAATTGCGGTGTTTGTGTTTCAGCTGCCTTCACCATGATCGGCACCTCTAGTCACTTATCTGACAAGTGCTCGCAGTTCGCCATCCCTTCCCTGTGCCACTACGCCTTCCCCTACTGCGACGAGACCGCCTCCGTCCCCAAGCCCCGGGACCTGTGTCGTGATGAATGTGAAATCCTGGAGAATGTCCTGTGTCAGACCGAGTACATTTTTGCCAGATCGAACCCCATGATTCTCATGAGGCTGAAACTGCCCAACTGTGAAGATCTTCCCCTGCCTGAAAGCCCCGAAGCTGCCAACTGCATCCGCATCGGAATCCCCATGGCGGATCCCATCAACAAAAGTAGGTGCCGCCACCGCCGGCCTGGCCAGGCGAGGTCCAGGAAGAAATGGACCCCGAGTCACCTTTTTGCTCCTATTTCTACTTGCCTCGCCCTTCCTGGGGCAGCAGGGTCCGGGGCGAACCTTCAGGAGTGAGTGGAAGCCATGTGGCGTGTCAGCCTTCTGGAAACGTTACGGAAAATAGGTCAACTTTAAAATTTGGTTAATGGGAGGGCCCGAGTGATAGTCCAGCAGGTTAGGCACTTGCCTGGCATGCAGCTGACCTAGGTTTGACACCACACAACCCCCTCCCCCCCCCCCGCACCCCATGTGGTCTCCTAAGCAACACCAGGAGTGATCCCTGAGCACAAAGCCAGGAGTAAGCCCTGAGCACTGTTGGGTGTGGCTCAAAAACAAGCAAAATATGGTTACCGGGACCAGGGAGATAACTCAGGTGGCAGGTCCAGTTTAGCCCTGACTGCATGGCCCCCAGGTATGCGCCCCAGAAGGGTCTTCTCTATTTAAGAAATTAAAAGCAGGCTGGAGAGATAGCACAGCAAGGAGGTGGGGGAGCTTGTCTTGTGCGTGGCCCAACCAGTTTGGTCCTTGGCACCAAAGATGGTCCCCTGAGTACTGCCAGGAGTGATCCCTGAGCACTTTTGTGCATGGCTTCCCCAACAATTTTAATCGAAGAAAAGTTACAGGCTTGCTCCTCAAGCCTGTGTTCTCTCTTGAAGACATATCTCATCTGCTTGCCTCTGTTTCCCTACGTGCTTGTTTCCAGTCTGTGTTCTCTCTTGGACATCTGCTTCTCGCTCTCTCTCCCCTCACATCTTTCTGAATAAGTTCTAATGAGAAGTACCTTGCTTCAAGGAGAAGGAGGAGGGGGAGGGAAAGGAAGGGAGAGAGAGAAAGAAAGAGAGAGTAAGAGAGGAAAGAAGAGAGGAAGAGAGGGAGGGAGGGAGGGAGGGAGGGAGGGAGGGAGGAAGGAAGGAAGGAAGGAAGGGAGGAAGGAAGGGAGGGAGGGAGGGAGGAGGGAGGAAGGAGGAAAGAAGGAAGGAAGGAAGGAAGGAAGGAAGGAAGGAAGGAAGGAAGGAAGGAGGGAGGAAGGAGGAAGGAAGGAAGGAAGGAAGGGAGGGAGGGAGGGAGGGAGGGAGGGAGGGAGGAAGGAAGGAAGGAAGGGAGGGAGGGAGGAGGGAGGAGGGAGGGAGAGAGGAAGAGAAGGAAGAAGGGAGGAAGAGAAGGAGGGAGGGAGGGAAGAAAGGAAGGAAGGAAGGAAGCAGGGAGGGAGGGGGAGGGAGGGAGGGAGGGAGGGAAGGAAGAAGGGAGGAAGAGAACGAGGGAGGGAGGGAAGGAAGGAAGGAAGGAAGGAAGGAAGGAAGGAAGGAAGGTTGAAATAATAGCTAGTCTATGGTTAAGTGTTTCCTTATGACTTAAACACAGAATGCTCACGTGACCAGCACTGGTGATGCCAGTGCCCAGGGAAACACTCCAGTGACCATCAGTGGGGGGTGGAGGAGCAAGAGGTGCTTTGTCCACACAGGAAAACAATGTCCAGCCACAGAGGAGATGAAGCTATCAGAGCACATGGTACCGATACCCATGCGAGATGCCACATCTGTGAAATACTATGAATCCATCCAGACAAGAGATAGTGTTTGCCAAGGGAAGGGTGCAGGGGCATGTAGCGAATAACTGCCTAATAGGTGAGGGACTTTAAGAATGTTGCAGACAGCTAGCTAGTGGGGAAGGGTGCAGAATAACACGGGGGTGCTAAAGGCAATTACAGTCAATTTATGGTCCAGATACTGTGCTACAGTGAGATCTATATAAAAAAAAATTGCCCTCCCGTTGTTCATCGATTTGCTCGAGTGGGCCCAGTAACGTCTCCTTTTTAAGACTTGTTGTTAACTGTGTTTGGCATTTCAAGTACATCAGGGGTAGCTTGCCAGGCTTTGCCGTGCCGGCGAGATACTCTCGGAAGCTTGCCGGGCTCTCCAAGAGAGGCGGAGGAATTGAACCCGGCTCAGCCGGGTTGGCTGCGCACAAGGCAAACGTCCTACGGCTGTGCTATTGCTCCAGCCCCGAGATCTATATATTTTACCTATATATTTATATCTATTTATATGCATGACATATACACACTTCCATTCACTCTTCTCTGCCCACCACCCAACAGAAGAATGTGCCTACGTTCATTTGCCATTTGTGTGGAAGTAAACGCACTGATCATCTTTTAGATTCTCTTTGGTGGTTCCTGCTGTTTTATTAAATAATCATCCATCTGAAATGCTTAGTCCGTATCAGCAATACCATGATTATTGCTGATCCTCTTCCTGTTAGTTACCACAAACCCTCCAGGTTCCTGTGTAGTTCAATTTTGCTTTCCAGTAGCAGCTCTTGTGAACATCTGCTTTTCAAGGCAGGGGGAGGTGGGTACTTAATACTTAGTCCTGGTGAAGTCCCCAGGAGAAGTATTTAGCACCAGCTTCTCAATCTCACTCAACAAAGATGTCCAGACCCACAGCCCTCTAATAAACATTCTCCCCAGCTACCACTGCTCCCTTCTTCACCTGAGTTATGTCTAAGATCGACACAGAGGAAAGGTTTGAACCTTCCAGGAACCACTGGAAATGACTAGAAGTTGCTAGAAGTGTCTCGTGTGCCTGGGGTCTTTCCGTTGCCAGCTTTTTCTGTGTTCCATGTTAGAAATACATACGAAGATCAGACTTTACTCCTGAAGCACAGTCTTCCATTCCTTCCTAGAGTGTAGCATGTAGCTTGCAGCCCACGAGCAGGTAGACAGCCCCGGGGCCCTGGCCCCACTGGAAGCTGATGCCCGGGTTAGGCTCCTCATTGCACCATTTCCCCCCACCCCACCTCCATCCCCGCTGAGGGCTCCAGCCCCTCCTCAGTTGCTTTCTTTTTTTTTTTCCTTTTTTTTTTTGGCTTTTTGGGTCAGACCCCCCGTGATGCACAGGGGTCACGCCTGGCTCTGCACTCAGGAATCACTCCTGGTGGTGTTCGGGGGACCGTATGGGGTGCTGGGAATTGAACCCGGGTCGGCCACGTGCAAGGCAGACGCCCTATACCTGCTGTGCTATCACTCCAGCCCCCGCCCCCAGTTCCTTTCTTGCTCCCCATTGGGGCCTTTCCCACGTGTCTTGCAGATCACAAGTGCTATAACAACACAGGGGTGGACTACCGCGGGACGGTCAGCGTGACCAAGTCCGGGCGCCAGTGCCAGCCCTGGAACTCGCAGTACCCGCACACACACACCTTCACCGCCCTCCGCTTCCCGGAGCTCAATGGAGGCCACTCCTACTGCCGCAACCCGGGCAACCAGAAGGAGGCACCCTGGTGCTTCACCCTGGACGAGAACTTCAAGGCCGACCTGTGTGACATCCCCGCCTGCGGTGAGTCGCTCTAGCCGTCCCCTGCAATAGAGCCGCTCCCCTTTGTTTTCATTGTCTGGGGGCCACACCCAACAGTGCTCCAGGAACCAAGCAGTGCTGATGCTAAGGATGCAGCCTGGACTCCCACTCCCATCTCCCTCCCGCCAAAGCCCTCCCAGCCATCTCCCTTGTGGTGTTCGTTTGACCTCCAAGGTGCTTCTACCGTGGATGAACCTGGGGGTTTCTACCCCAACTGCCTGGAGGCAGTGCAGCCTGGTCCCAAGAGTCTGATGACCGTTAATGCCTGTGGTCAGTGCTCAGGGAAGAACAGACATCCTCCCTCGGGGGCGCAGTGGCTGGCAGCCACAGAAAACCGCTCTCGCAGGTCTCGAGAAACTGCCAGGCGTGATCCTCTGGCCATGTTTGTCAGCACGCCCTGCACCCGTGGTCTCACTCTTATATTTTTGTTTTACTTTTTAGGGATCCCTCAAGCCGTGCTTAGGAGGCCAGGGGCACCCCTTGGGCAATTTATGACCTTCTAGACCAGTGGGTCAATGCAAAGATTTGAGGGTGCTGTGTCGGGGACCACCCGGGTCACCCCACCTTGCTCAGAGATCCGGGGGGTGCTAGGCCTGAACCCCCCAGGTCAGGCGTGTACTAAGCATGGCTCCGCATTGCCTGTACTAGCTCCCAGCCTGTATCTTTTCCTTTTATCCCGCTGAAGGCACCTTGCGGGGAAAGTCAGCGGGCTCCTTTTTCTAGCAAATACTGAGAGTGTCAGACATAGAGAACAAACGTTGGTGATTCCTGGAGGGGGGTGAGGTTGTGGCTCGCTGGGGCTTCCCGGGATCTCACATAAATGACTCTGAACTTATACCCAGTTCAGTTCTGTTCCGCTTAATGCCACATGGAGCATGTGGGGAGAGGCTGGGTGAGCAAGTGCCAGCGCTTTCGATTCCTGCTGGAAAGAAAGCCGTTCTTTTAGTGTACTTCAGGCCAAAGGCCCAAGCACAGCTCTGAAGGAGCAGGCCGGGCTGCACGCATGACCCAGGAGACGTGGGTGTGCCTGGGAACACGGGACAGACTCTGCTGGCAGTTGGGTCTCATCTCTGGGCATGTTTCAGGGTACTATTGGCCTCCATTGAGAACCCCCCTCCTTCCCTCCAAACGTCAGTAACACCAGGGCTGAGGCTAGATAAGATTTTAATTATCTGGATTGTGGAATGACAAGATTGAACTGCAGGGACTGTTTGCCGAGTGCTTACCATAAGCAAGATGATGCTGAGAAATCCATTCGCTCCTGTGTTACAGTTCTATATGCCTGTGAGTTGGGTTTTGTCTATCTAAGAAAGACGGAGCTTGGAGAGGTTGACTGACTTGTATGAGCCTAGTGAGTAAGTAGACCCAAACCTAGAGCTACTCTTCTTTTTAATGCATTTGTTTTATTTGATTAGGGGCCACCTTTGGCAGCATTTGGGGACCATGCAGTGCCAGGGATCAAAGCGGGGGCTCCCACATACGGGTGCTGCACGCCAGCCCCTTGAGCCTTCTCCCCAGCGTTGTAAACTGCCCTCTAACTCTAGGCTTTAACCCATGATGTGTCAGTGTGTGCATGGGTGTGTGAGTGTGTGTGCATGTGAGTGTGTTTGTGTGAATGTATGTATGAGTGTGTGTGTGTGATGTGTATGAGTATGAGTGTGAGTGTATGTGTGTGTGAGTGTGCGCGTGTGTGTATGTGAGTGTATGCATGTGTGAATGTGTGTGAGTGTGTATGTGTGTTTGAGTGTGTGTATGTACATGTGTGAGTGTGTGGATATATGCGTGTGAGTGTGTGCATGTGTGTATGTGTGAGTGCACTGTGTGTGCATGTGTGTATGTGTGAGTGCACTGTGTGTGCATGTGTGTATGTGTGAGTGCATATGTGAATATGTGTGAGTGTGTGCATGCATGTGTGAGTAGTATATGTGTGAGTGTGTGCATGTGTGAGAGTGCGCGTGCGCGCGCACGTGTGTGTGTGTGTGTGTGTGTGTGTGTGTGTGTGTGTGTGTGGTAGGTAGGTAGGTTGAAAGATGGATAGGAGAGCGGCGAAGAATAACTTTCCATCTTTAGTGAGTTGTGAGCTCCATAGCACAGATTTGAAATGAGCTTTTCCTCCTCCTCCCTCCCGAACGGGATGGAGTCTCGTGGGAATGTGCCTGCATTCTTTCGTTAAGTCAAACTTAAAGAGATTTCAAACTCTCCATGGGGTTTCTCATTTTCCTACTGATAACTTTTGTTTTCGTTTCAACTAAGTCAGGGTAAAGGAAGTCTAGGCCTAATTAAATGCAGAAAGTGAGCGTTTGTTGTACTTTCTAGAATAAAGAGAACCTTCTGCCACAGATTGTTTTATCTGGGCATTTGCACTCTGAAACAGAACATAAAATTAAACACGACCAAGTGTGCTGGCTCTGAGTTCTGGGAACTGGCTCGGCCGGGCCCGGGTGGGTCTGGCAGCACCGGGGGAATCTGAGATGGGCAGAGGGAGGCTGTGCCCTGACTGTCTCACCCTCCACACCTTTCACCTCCCGTGCATCTCACACTGGGAGTGGTGAGTGCTTTACTCGGTCAACCCCTGAGACCCTTCTATGCGAAGCTGCGGACTTTATGAGTGAGCCAGATCAGACCATGCCCCCGAGGATTTTACAGGCAAAGAATCAGACCTGACCCGTCCACAGCTGTCCAAGACCTGTTGTCCCCATCCTGCTCTCTCACATTCTTGCATGCTGGTCCCTGCTTTGGATTTTGGGGATTCTAGCTAGGTGCTAAAAACTGTGCTAAGTTCTTTTTCTATAGGTTTTTATTTTTTTTTTCCCCAGAGGGGTTGGAGGGAAGGTTATACCTGATGGTGCTCAGGGCACCAAGAGTAGTGTCGGAGGATGCACCCAGAGCTCCCGCCTGCAAAAACTGTACCTCAGCCTTTTGAGTCATCTCCTAAAATGTAGCCCCTCTGCTAAGTTTTTCCCATGAGCATTGGGACCAATGATTTTACTGCTGCTCAGAAAAATGGATGGAACAAACTTACATCCTGATGACCTTGGAATAGAGTCATCAGCAGCATTTTATGAACTCAGAGGCTGCACCATGGTTCTCACAAATGCCAAGATTCAAACCAGCTCTACGGAGTGCCAATCCTCTGCCCTGCCACTGCCACCACTGTCTAAGGAACACGTTTCTTTGTTCCTAGAACTTTGCCGAAGAATCAACCTATTTCCCCCCATGCTGAGAACTCTCGGTCTTTGGGATGTTCCCATTGATTTCCTCCATCATAGCTTCATAGTTGCAGGAACGGAGACCCCAGCCACAGAGAATAGACCCAGGGTCACCTCACTCCACAGCTCCCTGCTAGCACCTGGGCATTTGCCCTTTACACCGTTAAGTGCCAGCTCTCCCCCCATCCCCTCCACCTGGCATCACCCGTGAGATCTGCCTGCAAACCTTCCTTGACTCTATTCTCACCTCCAGCCCCTGAAGCCTCTTTTTCCAAGTCAAAGGATATTGGAAAAGAAGCACCTGTGTCAGCCCTTTTCTCCAGCCTCCATGCCTGCCCCCCAAGTGCCCAGCACCCTTCCCCGGGCCAGTTCCAAGGCCAGTTTCTTGAACTGCTCCTTTCGCAAAGGGCTGCTCGCCTCCGACTGTCTTCTGTTCCCATGCTGTGTGTTCTTCCTGCACCCCACTCCCAGCTCTCTACCCTCTTCCCTGCCAGTACACACTGTGCCTTCTTTCTTTCCTCCAACCCCCAGCAAATTACCAGCCCCTACTTCTTTCTGTCTCGGCTCTTCTGAAGAGCCAAGTCTTCCAGCCTCTCCTTTGAGTTCCCTCCTATGCTGTGCCCTGAACCACATTCCCATCCAGAGCCACGTGTTGTTTCTCCTTGCAGGGAAGATCCCACCTTGTTCTTCTTCTTCAGGAACCCCCAGTTTCCAAGTAGTGGTCTTATTTATGACCTCCCCGGAACCCACCTCACTGAGGAATGCCCGCTGCTAAGAAAAGGAGGCCCCAGTTGGCTCCCTCTGGAGTGGACATCCCTGATCGGCTGCTTTGGAGTTTCCTTTCAAGTCCCGTGTGCTGGAGGGCACAGTGCCCGGTGCCCTGCCTGCACAGCCCCGACTTGTCCCATAACCTTCCACTTGCCTGCCCTGGTGCTGCTTTGTCATAAGCTATTTTATGCACCATGGTGCTTCCCAGTCCGGGACAAGGCAGATGTTTGCCAGATTGCGAACGCTGCGGTTTTTAACTCACTCTGTCAGCAGCCTTCAGCCATGTTTCATTGACGACCTGTTGGAAGGCAATATGTCTTTCAGCCTTTTCTTCAACCCCCAAATTGAACATTACACGGAATTGGAGGGCAAGGAGGAGAAGAGGAGGAGGAGAGGAGGAGGGAATCAAGCCCAGCTTGGTACTGTGTAAAGCTTTCTGGAACGGTTATTTTTAAGCTACAAAGATTTTTTGTGACATAGTTGAATCTCTAGTCTTTGTAGATTTCTGACACAGGAAAGAACAATAGTTACCCCCTGACTTAGAACTAAGTCACGGTCCATAAAGATTTTTTTATCCTAAAATACTTTTCTCTCCAAGTTTTTATTGCCCCCAGTGTGCGTGAGGGTACATACCCAGCATTGAAGATGTTCCTGCAGTGAGCCTTGAGCAACTCTCGACTTGCAGAACCCACCACCATGGCGACGGGAAGTGCTCCTCGTCACCCAAAGCCCGGATGACGAATTCTGACATCCCACTGCCATGCCTGTTGCTCTTGGCTTTGTATCAGTCAAGGTTCTGGCAGGAAATGAAAGGCACACGGAGAGACGAAGGAGAATTTTATAAAGGGCCTATTTATAAAGGTGTTGGCAGAATTGGGGAAAGCAATATGGTGCTGGGCTGGTTTAGCAAGACTGGGAAGTGTTACCATCCCAGGCTTCCAGTGCCAAGGGAGTGTGTTTGGTTCCCTCACCCTGTGGGGCACAGCTGAGGGCGAAGAGGAGCTG